CTCTCTCTCTCTCTCTCTCTCTCTCTCTCTCTCTCTCTCTCTCTCTCACTCTCTCTCACGTGCATGGCTCTGAGGATGGACAGCTGCAGCAGGGCGGAGGAGAATCCGTGTCTGAGAGCGAGGACGAATGCGGTCTGCTGACCGAACAGCTCCTCCATGGCGTTCTTCAGCCGGAGGTACAGAGTCCGGTACCGCTCCACAAAGTCCGGCAGACTGCAGCTGGACTCCAGAAACCTCTTCACCTGAGGGGAGAGAGAACACCTGTGTGAAGACAGACATGTGAGAGGTTCCCTCTTTAGACCCTCTGGTCTGAGCGTTACCTGGCGCTGTACCACTCCCTGCCAGCAGAGAGCGATGCCCGCGATGCTGCTGCTGCTGCTCTTCACTCTGGGCCTAGCTGAGGAGGACGAGGAGGAGGAAGAGGAGGCCGACGTTTCTTTATTCTTACCCTCTTTACCGTCTGCAACACAAATGTTAAAAAACTGAATTTTTTTCATGATGCAGTTCATCATCGTTGAATTCAAATCTTTAAAAAAAATAAAAACATAAAATGATAAAACTGCAGCCAGAAACAAAAAGATAAAGCAGTGCAGTCTCTGTTCTGTTCCTTATTTTAGTTCTGAAAAGAAACCGCATCAGCGCTACAGATGGGGACAGGAAGTCAGCTTGTCAAAATAAGAGCGGTGCAAAACTGAAAGAAAAAGAAGACTTCAGGTTTGTTTTAAGAAAAGCTGAATGTGTTCAGTCAGTTCAGACAAGCATATTGCTCTCGTTCACATATTCTAATAATTATTATTTATTAAAATCATATTTCACAAGTAAAATATGTGGAAAAACATCCAGAAAAATATGTTTTAGTAAAATCTGAGTTTTTTTCCTGACAGTTTGTTACTTTGGTTTCTTTACTAATTGAGATTTTACACAGAAAAGATGTTTCAACACTATACGAAGTAGTTCAACCTGCTACAACTGTAAAATCCTGCATTTCATGAATGCATCAGGAGCAGTAATCTAATGGTAGAAGAGTATTTTTAGTACTTTACTTAATGAGTGTTTAACTCAGCCTTTATTGTGAAACTTCGTGTCCTCATGTGGACGCGTGAGGTGTTACAGAACAGAGTGTAAACAACAGCAAAGCTCCGACGTTACTTACTCTTCAGCTCTTTGCTTCGGTTGATACCTTCTGAAAACAGAATAAACTCTTTAGACACTCTTCATGGTTATTGTGATGTCACTGTGATCTCACGCCTCAGGTGTTCACAGCGGACTCACTTGATTTGACCGGCGGTTTGAGCTCCTCCCCGTCCAGCCGACTGGTGTCCACGTGGACCAGCAGGTGTGTGAGGCGCCTCACTCTGGAGTTAAAGATGGCCGCCCGGCTTTTACAGCGCCGGGTGGACTCGGCGTTACCCAGGTACTCACTGAGCAGCCAGGACAAGGGGCTGGACGCTGAGGATTCTGGGTAAACACAGAGAGAGTGTGCGCGTGAGCTGGTAGAGCCATCTTTGTGGGGACCAAGTTCAGACGTCGTTATGAGGACATTAGTATGTGTGTGTACCCGACAGAGTGACGCTGTGTGTGCGTGTGTACCCGACAGAGTGACGCTGTGTGTGCGTGTGTACCCGACAGTGGGACGCTGTGTGTGCGTATGTACCCGACAGTGGGATGCTGTGTGTGTGCGTGTGTACCTGACAGTGGGATGCTCTGTGTGTGTGTGCGCGTGTGTGTACCCGACAGTGGGATGCTCTGTGTGTGCGTGTGTACCTGACAGTGGGATGCTCTGTGTGTGTACCTGACAGTAGGATGCTCTGTGTGTGTGTGCGTGTGTACCCGACAGTGGGATGCTCTGTGTGTGTACCTGACAGAGGGATGCTGTGTGTGTGCGTGTGTATACCTGACATTGGGATGCTGTGTGTGTACCTGACAGTGTGGTGTGTGTACCTGACAGAGTGATGCTGTGTGTGTGTACCTGACAGAGTGATGCTGTGTGTGTACCTGACAGTGTGACGCTGTGTGTGTGTGTGTACCTGACAGTGTGACGCTGTGTGTGTGTGTGTGTGTGTACCTGACAGTGTGATGCTGTGGACGATGGGAGTGATCAGAGCCTCCCAGCAGGTCCGACCCAGAGCTTCAGAAGCCTCGGGGTCCGGCAGGAAACGATCAGCAAACATCTGCTCGTGTCTCAGAGCGCTGTTCAGTCTGAACACAGTGTGTAACAGCAGTAGTATCAGCAGAGTGTTATTACAGTACAAACAGGTTCATAGCTGGGGCCGACTCAGGTTCATAGCTGGGGCCGACTCAGGTTCATAGCTGGGGCCGACTCAGGTTCATAGCTGGGGCCGACTCAGGTTTACTACAGTTATAACTGTTATATTATTAGCAGTTATAAGTTATAACTGTGTATTTATTGCATTATTACAGTGTTATTGAAGTATTTACTTGTTGAAGAGCTGCAGCAGCTGCGTCTTGTCCTCCATCACCTCTTGACACCAGGTGTGGGCCTTGGTGCTGTAGAACAGGTAAGTTCTACAGCACAGCTGCTCCTTGAACACCGGCCAGAACGTCGGCTTCGGACCCAGAACCTCGAAACCGTGGACCCGAGTGTCGATACCACCCTATCAGAGAGAGGAGGGAGGAGCCAGTAGACCGGAAGGGAGTCAGTAGACGGGAGGGAGGGAGAGACAGTAGACGGGAGGGAGGGAGGGAGAGAGAGACAGTAGACG